TATGGTCCATTTGAAGATTTCAAACCAGCCCAGGACACAGAGATACACGGGACACATGTGGCCAGTTGTGGAGCTGCGTGTGTGTGGCTGGTGTCCGTTTCTCCTCACACACATGCTCCTCTCTTCTCAGACTCCATCTCCACAGATGCATGGCTCAAAGGCCACAGCCCACTCTCTGCAAGGTGACTGAAATTTTGCTCTCCCTGGGAATGCCCCTCTGACTTCAGTCTCCCTCCTTCCTGCAAATTCTGGGCCAACTTGACCACTATCTTCATCTCTAAGTAGGTGACACAGAGTTGACCAAGTAAAGATTCCCCCTCATGAGAATGTCATGCTTGCCGGTGAAAACATAAGACCCAGGGACCGAAGTTGGGGGCTTGGGGCATTGAGGAAAGAGCGCTTAGGGGAGGCAGATGGTGGGCAGCCTGTGTGGACGGCAGTGGAGTGGAACCCTACTGTCCACTGAGGAGATGAAGATGTTCAGCAAGAGCCTGCAGGACCCCTGAAGTCTTGGTGCCTCCCATTCCTCTGCAGAACCCTGCACAGTCACTGCTGATGGACATACAGACACACACACACACACACACACACACAGACACACACCAGCATATGTGTACAGACCGCGTAGCTCTGTGGATGTACAAAAGCAAGAGTACGTTGATAGAGCAAAGCTCAAGCTTAATAAAAAATGATATTACAGCCAAACGTGCCTGTCACTGTGTACTGGGTCTGTGAGTGGACACCTTCACCATCTCCAGACCCACCCACGGTTAGCACTTAATCGTAGTGCATCTGTACGCGGGAGGGAAAGCCACAGTCCTATACACCAGTCACACAGTGCTGATGGGGACTCTCTGACATCACTTATTAGTCAACAGGGACGGCAGCTTTGTCCTTCTGTGTCAGTGCAGTGCTGACCACTCAGCACTCAGGAGCCCAGGCAGGTTTCCTGATTAGTGGGAAAAGGCTGCCCCAGCACAGCCCAAGGTGCACGCTCAACGCTCAACGCCGCTCCTGCACTGTGTCCCCAGGAAGCCAGCGTCTTTGTTAAATTGTGCAGAGGGTTTGCTTGTTTCTCACTGTTTAAATGACAGTGCAGAAGCTCGCTCCAAGTTTCTGTAGGTCCTGTGGTAAAGTTTCTTAAGAATGAATATCAGGAAATCATTATTGTAAAGTTCTCAAAAGTACATGTTTTTAAAAGGAGTTTGAGTTCAATATGGGATTTAAAAAAAAAAAAATCCCAAACTCCTTTTCTTTAAAAAATTTGTCCAGATATTAAGAAAATGTAGTCACCCACTGTCAAGACAATTTTTTGCTGATATTTAAAAGCTCAAAATCACTGTGAGGAAGCAGAACTAAAGTGCTCCTTAGACCTGCTGACACTCCACTCCTTACTCTTGGAGCCGGAGTGGAGGACTGGGGATCCAGGAGCACAGCCTGAGAACGCATACACAGCTGTCACATTGCTAATCCCACGTCTTAATCCAGACTCATGTTACAGGTCACACATCAGCGTGAGGTGCACAGGGGTGCAAAACAGATCCCTTGGTCCCTGCCGTCAGAGAGCTCACAGGAAATGGCCCACGCGCGGCATGGTCAGGATGTTGTGGCACAGACAAATCTGTAGTAAGAGCAGTGTTTTGTAATAGACGCAGACTTCTTAAGTTTTATTTTGGTCCATCTGACTACTTAAAAAAACAGTAGTTGCTTAATCAATGCCTGTTAATTAGTGTATTTATTCTGGGTGGGCCCAATGTTGATCTGTTTTTCTTCCTTGCCAATGTCTTGGCAGATCTCATTATCAGTCAATATATGTGGTGTTTATTAAAGTGCATCTCCTAAAACATCTGCAAGTAAGTTCATCAATAGTTCTGGGTTTTTGTCAGGAGATGAGGATTTGGGTCCCAAGCACATCACGCCTGGTGTGAAGCTCCATCAGGTCACTTAGAGATAGGAAGATGCTTTCTAACTTCTGAAGAGGATTAAAAGCCACCGGTCAAGACCCAGAATTGCCAAGGTGCTAAAATTGGAAGCAACCCGGAGCTCACTATTAATACTAATAGCACATGTGTGCTATTTGTCTTCACTTCTAAAAACCACAGCCTATTTATTAAGTTATATATTTATTCTGCTGACTAATCCACTCATGTATGCACATTAATTATGGATCTAAAACATTTAAATATGAACATTTCCTTAAGTAAAAGCAATTAACTAGCAAGAGGAAATCACAAGTCTTTTGAAAACAGTTATCATCATTTCTGATATAACTTTTAGGGATGGATATTTGATTCAGGTATTCGATCGCACTGTGGGAGCTTGGAATTTCTTAAACTTAATTACTTAGTGTTTAAACCCTAGAATTTAATGTGAGGTTAATACTATTTTGATGACATAGCCATCGGCACCGTTAATTCCACATCACAGATATCTTTTCCCGGCAGCAGCCTGCTCAGACTTACGAGGATCCTACAAGGGGGACTTTTCCCAGGAGAGTCTGCTTCTGAGGGTGGAGACAGGCGGTGTGATGGGCAGGGGAGAGGATGCCTCCTGTTGTATGGGTCTGATTGAGAACCACAGGCCTATCATCTCCAGAGCTTCTTCCTTCTATTTCCAGATGCTTGTGCTACTACGCAAATGTGCCCATGTATTGGAATGTCCAGGAAATATGCACTGACTCAAACTTTCTCAAAGTTCCTTGGGAAACCTGGCGGGACAGCCAGATGTCCTGAGCCTGGGCTGCCATCAAAGACAAACGAGGAGCTTTGTCAACCCAAGAGTGCCAAGTGGGGGCTGAGAAGAGACTCCAAGGAAGCCCTCTTGGTGAGGGTGGGTGGGTGTCAGGAATGGAAAGACTGAAACCCCTGTCTCCACCCAGGCCTTGCTAACTACTGCTTGAAGAACAAAGGAGACAGCAGAAGGCTGTGGACAGTCCAGTGACCCTCTCCCCTCTGACGCTGGCCACATGAGGCTGCACACTCAAGCGTTACCTTTGGGGGACTTTTGCACCTCTATGAGAACAGAGCTAAGTGTGGGCGAATCAAGAACCACTCCAGCGGGTATCAGGAGGAGGGGAGACAAGTGGTTGGGAACAGCAGGGAGACACAGGCCACAGCCTGGCCCAAGGCTCTTCCCGGGAAGCTGCCTCGCGAGGGCAGCACAGTGGAAGGTGAGCCCTGGCGCCCTGGCCACAGCTTTCTGCTCTCTGGTGAGGAACAGGGACAGCAGACGCGGTTTGTGACATAAGCCAAGGCATCCAATTGTGCTCAGTGGAGGGAGCACTGAGGAACCCTGGGTGTGCGTGGGAATGTCCTCCTGTCCACCCTGTGCTAGGAAGACTATCCAAAGGCTTTGCCGTTGCCTTCCCCAGTGTCAGTGCAGTCCAGGAGCCAGGAGGGGGGTATCCATGCATCCAAGCAAGAAGCACACTGCCAAGCACGAGGAAGGGACCACAGCACAGGAGAAGGGTCCCCAACGTGTGCTCCACCTGCACGCACTGAAAACGGTCCCTAAGAGCTCTGCAGTGTTTGGAGGGTGAGATTCTGAAGGCTGGGGTCTCTTAAAGAAAGCCATGCTTATCAATCCATCCCAGGCTGTCCACCATCACTGAATTATGCATAGGAATCAACTGAAACGCTTTGACTTGGTGAGTCTTTTCAATGGGATTCTCATGAGAGTGAAAAGTAGGCCTTCTCAGGACATCGGCCACTCTGTTTTTGTCCAGTCTTAAAATCCATCAACCATAATTTTTTTTTTTTTTTGTATTAAGGGGACTGAGGCAATTCATCTTCCTCTGGGCACCTGGATTAGCTTGGGGTCTGAGGGGTGATGATTATCCTCCCAGAAATTCATTTGCTCATCTGTCAAATAAAGGCAGCAGCTCTGATGAGCACCCACATCATTTCACACTAAAAAAATCTGAATTTCTAAATTTCCCATGTCTTGGGGTCATTTTCATGAAATTTTAAAATCAGACTAGTAAAAGATTGCACTATTTATATATTGAAAGCATTTCAATTGATTAATCACTTTTAGTTATCCAAAGAAAATAGCTATTTTTGTTTTTAATTTGGCTGTGACTAAGAATGTTGCAAATGGCAATTATTATAGTGAAATTCTTTTTTTTTTTGAAAAAGCAACAATTAATTTCCTTTTCTTGTCTTTTTAATTTATATCTTAAAAAGGAAACCTTCCATACTGATTTTCATTTTGGGAGGTCCCAGAGATCAAACCCAGGGATGTTTTAGGGATGAGCTCCATCTCCAGCCCTTTTTATTTTTTGAGACAGGGTCTCCCTAATTTGCTCAGATTGCCCCTAAATTTGCCCTTCTCCTGCCTCAGCCTCCAGAGTTGCAGGGAGAAGGTCATCTTTGTGCCACCATACCCAGCTGATTTGCATTATTACAGGGTACTGCAGAACACTGGTTAAACTGTAGGCTGCAGGTCAAATCCACACTCCACCAACTCAAAGAAAGGCTCTCTGGTGAGTACTCAAATGACTGTTGGTTCTATCATCGGGGGAATGAGTGGTGAGAAAAGAATCTACAACATCCAGTTGCTATGCAGTTGTGTGTATACAGTTGCATTATATATGTGTATATATATATATACACATAATATATAAAGTATAATATATATTTTACATATATCTCGAAAGCCTTAGGAGCCTTCATCAAGAACAAGCTGATGGGGCTGACCCCATTTTAAGCATTCACTCTAAATCCTTCATATCCATGTTAGTCAGCCTTTGGATGGTGCACATTATGCCACCATCAATCTTTAACCCCAGCAGCTCTTCAAGGTCATAAGCTCTTTCCTCTTCAGGTCTAGCTATTTGATTATTAAAAAATATGAATACCTCTAAAGAGATAAATTTCAAACTGCTGCTTCTCCTAATGTTTCTGAATTTACTGATTTTGACAGGTATGGAATCAGACACGGTGGGGGACGGACAGAGAAGATCAATAAAGGCACAGGGTGGGCCGACGCGAGTGGCTTACTGGAGTAGGTGAGTTGGAATCCTTGGTCGGTGTCTGACCCGTTGCTGTTGAACTCCAGCCACAGGTGATTGGAGGTGCTGTTGAGGGTCAGCCCCATCAGCTCCTTCTTGGTGAAGGCTCCCAGGGCTCGAGACGAGCTGTCTCTTCCGTCATAAACCTAGTGAAAATTCACAGCATGAGTCCTCCTGTTCCCCGATATATTCTCATGGTAGCAATTTTAACAAGACATTCGAATCCTCAAAGACGCACTTTAATGAAGTATTCAGAAGCACTAAATCATCTATTTTTCTTTGAGCTTCATCCTTCCCTTCAGTGCTACTCGCCACAGACTCCATCCCATCCTCTCACACTGGCTACCTGGAGAGCTCTTTCCTGTTTGTGTAAAATTAAGTGAGTGTTTCTGTGCATTCCTGGGTTTTGCTGTCTCCTCTTGCCCCTTCCTCAGGGTGGAAAGGTGGGAAGATGTAGCAGGTTCCAGAGGCGAGAGTCTCGCCCAGACCCAGCTGTGTAAGAGGATGTCCCTCCCTCGTTCCCCGTCTAAGGCACGGAACCACAGCACTACCGAACCCCAGCCCAGCCACAGTTCTCAGGCCTGCAGGGGACTAGCCTTGGATTTGCTGTCATGAAAGAGTCCCGTCATGTAATAACAGCAGACGGGTCATCGTGCCTGGAACACTTTGCATGGGCCGTCTTCTGAAGTGACTGTGAAACTCAGCGGCTATGATCAGTCTCAGAAGGCAGTGCACACAGGGCTTGGTGGTGATGGGATGCCTGGGTGAGGGGCAGGGCTCCTGGAGGACTCCCCACCTTCAGGGAGCCACCTGCACCTCAGTAGGAGTGGGTCACAACACCTCCATGGGGACCCCACCCCGTGGCACTCTCTGAGCTGAGGTGTGTCTGAGGAAATGGCATCAACATCAACTCAGCCTGGTGGCCTCCTGCATCCCAGTGCAGCTGGAACACAGGGTACCATCCTCGCGCCCCTCCCTCCGGCAGAGAGCCGCCCTGTGGACCAGGCCACGGGGTGTCTGGAAGAGTGTCCAGTTTTTCCTAATTGAAAGCACCCTAACCTCTCAAGGCCATCCTCTCCATGTAGGTGCTCCCGGGCCTGGTTCCCTCCCCCTCTGCCCGCCTCACGTGGACCCTGGCTCACTCCTCCCCATCACCACACCCATTGCCCAGCAGACTATACACACCAGCACACTCATGAGAAAGAAGACACATCTAGAAGCATTATTAGTTATTTTATTGCCAGTAATTATTGTATATACAGTGTCATGTAATCATTTTCTCCCTTATTTCCTTATTAAAAGGCTACTGCCATAGGCTATGGTTTTTAAGAAGTCTCTATGACTTTAGATGGGGCTTCCATGAACTTGGAAGGCATCTGACATGCTGACAGAAGGGTTTTAAACCCCGAGGAAAATCTGTCTCAAGGAAAAAAACATCAGGTCTCCCAGAAAGGCCAAGGGCACCTGGCTAGGCCCACAGAGCTGGGCTGGGTGTGAAACAGGACTCACGGCCAGCTCTGCTCAGTCCTGGACACCACCTCCCACATGGCTGTATCCACCTGGCTCCCTCACGGGGCTAGACCTTGCACCCCACAGAGTGTCACCAAGTTGGTGGCCTCACGGTTACAGCAGCAAAGCTGAGCAGCTTGAACACTTAACTCCTTGACTCTCCATAGCAGTGGGTGGCTCTATCGTGTATGTCCACGTCACCGGTGCTTAATGCTGCCCTTGACTGAGGACACAAGATCAAGCCTGAACCAGCTTTGCTTCATTGCCTCTCTCATGGTGAGTGTGGCTCAGGATTTGCACACATCACCAAGAAAGAGCCAGGTGTGATGCCCAGGTAATTCCAGGGTAATGAGCAACGGGCCTGCTGGGTCTGCACATCTCCAGGTTGCAGTTCTCATCTAAGCAGCTGTCTCCAAGCATTCTTCCAGATGTTAGAAAGAGCCTTGGAGCCACCTGATTCACACCAGGTGACAGCCATCTGCTCTGAGGACCCTCTCAAGCTTGCCTTTAGTCAGTGCATCAGAGGGATGTGGCCCAGGGAGCAAGTGAGCAAACTGGGAAACCAGGCATCTCCGAGTGCTGATGCTGAGTTCTCACGAGATCTCTCCTGCTGCCAGGAACCATACCTCAGCTCTTCCCACACCTGCTTTTCACAATGTTTCACAAGAGCTGTTTGTCTTACATGTTGTTGGGGGGACTGTGGGTAGTGTGCATACATAACATCTTCGTCTTTGCTACTGGATCATGGCATGTGTGAAAGATTAATGTGAACAGATTTTGCTCCAAAATTAAGATAATTTAAGCACGTTTAACAGAGATATCTATTAGAACATTCTACAAAACATAAGATGGCAAAATATTTTGGCATTTTATGTGATTGACAGTTTCCCTGCAACTAAAGATTTATTTTTACTTTTTGTTGTAATCAACAAGTTCAAGCTGCTCCTAATTAAAAATGAGCATGATTTCCTTCCCTCCATTTGGACATTATTTATCAATGCATATTTCACACAGTATCTCTCATCACTCACCTGTACCAGAGAATAGTCACTCAAAAGTTTTGTGTTAAATTTGAGGCTGTCAATGAATTCAGAAAATTCTTATGACTCAACTTCATATTTTTTTTTAGATTAGCAGCAATGCTCCAGCTTCCTGACTGCAAAACACTTCTTAATTACAGCCCTTCGTGCTCTCAGCAGGAGTTTTCAGAAGACTACTAAATCAAAGGACCGCCAGGGTAAAACTGCTCTGTTAAATGATGGCTCTGCATAGTGGTGCACCTTGTACCTGAGAGGCAGCCAGGCACTCGGGTCTGTGAGCTGCTCTGACCCTGCACATCACTGCCCACGAGGTCAAGAGGGTCAGATCACCCTGAACAAAGCCACAGCCAAACAGAGCAGCCAATTTCTTAGAGCTTCAAGTGATTTGAATCTGTTGAACTGGACAGGTGTCTCTGTGTGCAACCATGTAGCTGCAAATATAACTGAAACCGACTTTAGAGGGGAAATGAGCAAGTGGCCCTCCCTTTCCAGGCATCAGCATTGGTGTGGTCCAGCTGCCCGTCTCTCCCCACGAGGAGAAGCTGGCTGGGCCAGATGACTTACAACATTGGCCTTCATTGCCCAAAGCCTGTCTCTTTCATCGTCCTGGGTCTGCAAACGCCCACCATCCTGTTCCGGGGCTTTGCAAGGGCCCCACTTTCCTGAAAGAGTTCAGGGTAGGTGAGGTCTATGCCAGAAGCCTTAGAAATGGAAGGTGATTCCAGCTGGAGATGAAGTTGTAGGAATCATGGCAGAGCTGGGAGCCTGCTGCCCGTGGTGCAATGGTCATGGTCCAACCCAGCGACGCCCTGGCTGACCACGAGAGTAGCTGGGCTTGTCCCCATCAGCACACCAGAATCCTCCAGCTCCAAACGTGACAGCCACATTCATAATAAAGAACACCTGGAGAAAGGGTTGGCCTGGGGTCCCGCAGGTTTGAATGATTTCCTTGCGTGCCGGGCATGATGTCCCAAACATCATATGTTAAATTATTTAGTCTTCAAAACAGCCAAAAAGATTGTACTGTTGCAGGGTCTTACACATAGAGAGCAAAGGCCATGCATACCAAATAATTTTCCCACAACATACTACTTATCAATGTTAGTTGGATCTAGGATCATAGACAAAGTGATTTCTAAATCCACACAGACTCTACAAAATGACACCACACTCTACTTCATCAAAGCAACTGCATAAATAAATGGAAACAAATTATGTGTATATGGAGGTAGATCAATATATACCCATGGAGGTCGATATGAGAATAGACGGATACATAGATGGAGAGAAGAATAGAGGATGGACACATAGGAAGGAAGAGGGTGATGAAGGATAATGGACTGGTGGATGGGTGATGGACAGGTGGGTAGACAGGTGATAGACGGATGGATGGTAGGGAGGCAGGCAGGTGGTAAACAGATGCACCAGCTCGGGCTTACCTTTAGCGTATCTCCTTCCAACAGCTGGAAGCTCCGCGCTCTGAGGCGGATCCCCCTGCCAGCTTCCGTCTCTATTTTATAGATACACTCATGGTTATTATCATAATTGGATGGGAAATTTGGAGACAGTAATGTTCCTTCATTTCCTTTCACACTTGCTCCACATTCAGCTAAAATAAATAGGACATTAAAAAAGAGGATTCAAAAGTGGAATTACTGATTTTAATAGATTAAAAATTCCAACATTATGATCACCCTCTCTTCTACCAATGCATGTCCCTCATCTATGCCTTTTTTTAAATTATAAAAACAGAGTAGTGGCTTACTTTTACAGCTTAATCACGGGGCAGAAAAGACATCCCATTCCCGCCTTTTCAATAGTTTCTTGGTTATTGTAATAGAACGGCCTTCCTCTATGGATGCAGCTCACCACCCTATGAAGAGCTCCCTGGCCACATCTAGGCCTGGCCCCCTCTGCCCACCTGTTTCCCCCTCATGAAATGCCCGGTCATCTCCATGTGCCGATCCTATTGTGAGACCAGCATGCTTTCCTGCTCTTGAACCTCCTGGCATCAAGCAGTGCAGTTAAGGGGGTCTAATGTCACAGAAAGCAGCAGAGCCTTCTGATGGGCCACAGCACTGTCCCGTCCACGCCATCTCAGGATGGAGACCATCCCGTGGCAATCACTATGCTCTTTCCCCTTTTCCTGATGGAAGAACAGGGCTGTTGACTTTCAACTCCAAATTCACACAAAACAAACTTCCTTGAACCACGGCAAAGCGACAATAATAAAACCCTAGTTTCTGTTGATCATGGAAAGTCACAAACCCTCAGCATCTGTTTTCTCATCTATGACTGTGAACGGTGTCAGTTAAGAACGCCTTCAGCTCTAAAATTCCATGAAAAAAACAGGGTGAAATGAAGTCACTACGCACACAGACACACATGTGCACGTGTGTGTGACAGACCCCTGGGCTTCGGTATCAACGACTTTACCAGCCATGAGCCTCCAGCAGGGTGGGTGGGGTGATGAGGACCTGGTCTTCAAGAGCTGCTCTCCATCTTCCCCCTCCGCTGCATGAGACCAAGAGGATGGAGGGAGCCTTGGAGGGATGAGGGGCAATCGAGTAGCCACGGGGCTCCCACCCAAGAGCTCTGCCTCTCTGCTGCCTGAGCAGCTGTGGGAGATGGCCCTATGCAGCCTTTCGGAGCAAGCCAAGCCAAGCCAAGCCCCCCAGGTCCAGGCCATCTGTGAGTGCCACAGGCACCGCTGCAGAGGAAGAGCTTTCTCCTGGGACCTGGGGCTCCCTGTCACCAGCTGTGGTGTCTGTATTCTCCTAGGCAGGTTTAGTTCCCTTGGCTAGTGGTGGCTGGCCCACCTACCCTTCCCTCCACACTACCAGAGATTTTTATTCTATTGTTTTGCTTCTTAGCAAACTTGCCACACGGAGAAATGTTTTACAGATTTGTGAGTGTCTGAAAAGTTTTAAAGTAGGTTCAAGCCTTCACAACGAGGCTGAGGCATAAACTAAAATAAATGGTGTTTGCTAGCACAAATTTTCTAAGTTCTCTACATTCACTCATAGTTCTCCCAGTGGTCCTATGTGACAGATCACTAAGCCTCACTTGTAGATGAGGAAACTAAGGCATGCAATGATTCACAAATCAAGGCTCTTTCCCAAGGTCACAAGGTGAACGTAGACTTGAGAGTTACAAACAGTAAGGGCTCAGGAAGAGAATGACACTCTTCATAGCCTGAATGATGCTGAACACATTTTATATCAAATTGTTCACAATAATGCTCCCAATTTATAATGATAAAATGAATATTGGTAGGTTAAATTTTCTAGAAGAGTATGTTATTAAGGACATTTAGTTGAAACAGGTTACCAGTAAGCTGAAGCTTGTGTTAGTCATCAACATATAATCATTTTTTCATAATATTCCAAGAAGAAAGGGCAAGAAAGAAGAATTGAGCACTGTAAGCCATGGAAGAACATGAAATCAAACCCAAGGAAGTAATTCTGTACATCTTTTTGTTGGCATTTAGATTTGGAGGCTCTTTTAAAGAAAATAAATAACAAATGGTAGTAACTAAGTCTACACTATGCAAAATAATAACTGCAAAATTAACTGGCCGCTTGTAACTGATACCACTCTGGAGACAATGTTGCTTCAGCTTGTGGGAAGAGAAGACAGGAGCAATAAGCCAGCCTTCTGAGCCCCCACGTCTCACTGCAGACTCACCTCAGAAAGCAAATCTGCTGCATCTGAGCAGGTATTTCTCACAATCTGAGGCACGATGGAGATTTATCAGTAAACAGGCAATGACGACTCTTTGAACCTAACTTACACATGACGACACATCTGCATGGATATCATTATTCCTGGGCAGAAAGAACCAAGATGTGTCTAAGAGCCCAAGAGAAGTTCACTAAACCTGGGCCTACACTGGAGGAGATAACCAGAGGAAGCCAGGCACTTAGGCTCAAAGGCAGGTGCTCAGAAAAACTGCAAGATTTAAGGGATCAAAAAGTCAAAAATTCTTTGAACTTGACTCAAGGGATCCAGTGTAATTCTTCATTACCAGAGCAATTAAATGATTCACTTTTTACGTTTTTTAATAATCCATTTAATATTACTTTAAGGTAAATGGATACAAATTTTCTTGATATGAATCATTTGCTGTATTATAAAGAATCCACTGAAATTTTAATTAAAATTGAATTGTTATGGAGAGTTTTGGAATGAAACTAATTATAACTAAATTAACCATGATAGAAAGGAGTCAATTGATTTTTTTTTCCTTGAATTTCTGTGTACAAAGGAGATGACCTGTGACACCAATGTCCTTCCTCTTCCTCTTGGGCTGCACCCCCCTGGGCCTGGATCAACAAGCATTGTTCACAGAGACATTGCCAGGCCCAGGATCCCTGTGGCTTAGCTAATCCTCCACAGTGAGAAAGGCCACGCCCACTGCTGCAGGCCACGCCCACCCCCACCCCACCCCACCCCCAGCGCAGTCTGCGCTGCCCACCTGCGCCTCGCCCCAGCTCCCTTCAGACACAGCGCTGGCCTCAGGGAACACAGGTGAGTCCCTGTGGCCTCAAGGCCTCCTGGAAACTGTGAGGGGCTCTTGAGAAGGCTGTGAGGTTGCCGGGAGAGTGGGTTCCGTTCACTCTGCAAGGGTGTGTGCTTTGGAAGCACAGAAATACAAAATGGCCAATCAGCAAACCTTGCCCACGACAGAGGAAGTGAGAATCATTTAAAACACAGAGTCCTACATTTACTCAGAGAAGATGTAAAATGGTATTACATTTGACCCATTTATTGTCCTATGCACATTTACTCTTTAATTAATCCTATTATTGGATTAGCTCTTAAGAATCAGCAGCAATTAAAGTTCTAATTTTTAATTTTGTTTCAAATTTTTGAATCAAGAATTTATTTACAGAAACTATGGACTCACTGTCAAAGGAAAATAATGTTTAAATAGAATTGGTCAAATGTATTAAAGCCAAATGCTTTTTAGGGTTCAAAGAAACTTGAAGTCACTATGCACTCTGCCTCTGAAATGCCTGTGACCCATTAGGGTAGCTAAGGGTCCGCAGCTTGGTGTCTGTTCTGCTGACAGACTCCATTCTCCAATCAACAGAGTTTAACAGACTGACTCCGCGAGAGGCCATCTCCCATCTCACGCACGTCTTGAAGAACTGCCTCGTCAGGTCCTCACCTGGTGCTTTATTCAGATGTGGGTGCACAGCTTTAAGACCCCCTACCTGGGAACACTCTGTGTCTAGGGAACTGAAGCCAAGTCCCGGAGGCAAATGGACCCACCTCAGCTTGCATGGGGCTGTTCTGATAAGCCTGCAAACACTTCTCAGGTGGGAGCACAGCCAGCCTCCCCATAGGTGCCCAGCTGGGCCACCCACTGGCCACAGGGCAGGCTGACAGGCTGTGGTGGTGCCGTCAGTCAGTGTGACTGGGTCCTGCCACGCACACCCAGCCTGGGGCCGGATCAGCCTCACACTGGAGGTAAAACTTCCCTCCAGTGCATCTCAGTGCTGTCCACTGTAATGCTGGGCTGCCATGATCTGGGGACTGTGAGAATCATCATGGAGATTTCCTGGGGACACTTATCTTCCTTAAATCTATTCTCTATCTTTTGCCCTGCTTTCCAACCAAGATGCCACAAAGTATCTGAAATGTCACAGAATAGGCATTTTTGTTATTATCAAACAGTCATGCAGTCATGCTCCTCAGCCACTCAAAAGTCTCTGGCCACAGTGAGGCATGGAGAACAGGAATGGGAGAGGAGATCCAGGACTTGCCCCGAAATGGTCTTCTGTAGCTTGTTTCCCCTGGGCAACCTGAGGGTGGGGTATGTGCTCCATGGCCTGACACGGAGCTTGCCCTGAGCAGCTGTGTCAGACGGTAGGGGACGTCTGCTGCTGTATCCACGTTGGTGAGACACCAGCCAGGTCCTTACTGACCAGGTTGAACCCTGGACCAAACCTTCTCTGAAGGTGCACCTACTGTGGACATGTACTCACGTCACCAACAATCCTTCATTTTGACATAAATCATTTAGGACAGCTTTCTCTGCCTTGCAGCTAAAGCAATCTTGAATGGTACTTGGGTAATTAAACGCTCAGAGGTGCCACAAGAGAGATCTTGAGCACGTCTAGAGGAGATGAACAGCATGGGGTATATGAGATACATCATCATAAACAAACAATTAGATAGAAAAAGCCCAAGAGGAGTAAATGCAAATGAAAAGAAGACTTCTCCTCCATTTAGGAGTGAACTGGAAAAGAGGGAAAGGGTGGCTCAGGTGTTATCCAGGAAGTGTGGTGAGAACCTGTGGATTAGGAAAATGAGGGGGTGCTCACGACTCGGTCAACATCCTAAGGCCACCTGCCATCTCTTGGGTGGACTTGCAAATTTTGGTCATGGACAAATCATGGCTATTTCATAATTTTAAAGGAACACAGAATATTGCTGAATCAAGTTTTCTAGATCTAAAGAGAAGCTTTAAGGGAGGTCACCTGGTTCCTTGGGTGAACAGGTGGTCTCAGGGTGAGGTGGCTCACCTGAAAGCAGCTCTCAGCCTGGGGAAGACCAAGACACAAGGCAGCTTTGATGGCACAGGCAGCTCCCAGGGAAGACGGAAGACTGCTTCTCCACAGTTCAAAAGTGGGTAGAGGGGTAGTGGGGTGCACTTGGAGGACAGGAGTCCTCGTCCTGAAGGGAGGGGCCAGCCCTCCATGTAGGGGTGCTTGGAGACAGGCACGGGGTAGGAAGGAGAGCCAGGGCTCTGTGGTGGGGGACTCGGTTGCAGCAGAAGCATGCTGAGTGGGAGCCCTGGGGGACCTGGGCGTCTGGCCCCTCCAGTGAACGGAGGACCCCGTGTTGCAGGGTTGAGAGCAGTGCCCAGGGTGTGGGGTAGGGTGATTCACCAGGTTCTGCTGAGGGACAAATGGGTTGAGGTCTTGGATGTGGACAGTGCCTTCTGTCCAGAGTGGACAGCCTGTGTTTCCAGGGCTGGTGGGCTCCATCCAGCAGCCAGAGGCCCAGCCCAGGAGAGGAGCAGGAGAGTACACTGGGCCTGGACACTGTGACTTGGGTGAGCATGACCTGAGCGCTGGGCACAGGTGGGGTCCTTCAGAACCAGGAATGAAGAGGGGTAGGCAGTGGGGGAGGAGGAGGGACACACCCACTGTGCCAGCTGGTGTGTTTTGAGGCCATCAACAGCACCTCTACTTAAAGGTATCTTGGCCAGGTGGGCTGGGAGGAAAAATCAAGAGGGTTTATAGGGTCAGAGCCAACTTAGGTCCCATATGTGGGTGGTGGTTAAAAGCGGGTCCCAGCTTCACAGCACCTTAGGAGCTCTGCGCCCTTGGGTGAAGTTCTCAGATTCTTTGTGTCCTAGAATTCCCATATTTAAGACAGAATGACCATAGACCTGCTCACTGCATACAGATTAAATAAAATACTCATGCCTGCCCTCCAGGAAGCGCTAAGGACCCATTGCTGCTATTCCAGGTCTAGATATTGTGGAATATTCTAGACAACAGTGTAACAGGCAGAATAATGAGAAAGGCAGTGCAAGGTAATGAATCTAGATAAAGCAGAATGACAGCAATGGACAGGGTGACCGCAGACCAGCGAGCGCCACGTGTTCGGAAGCTTGCAGGATCTCACTGAGGGAGGGTCGTTTCCCGGGCCTCCATCTGTCTCTGGCAGGCCTGTCTCACCTGGGGATCGGGGTCCGGGCAACTCTGGTAACACTCAGATCATTCGCACAGGCTGTGCTTCTTTCAAAGACAGTTTTCAAAACCTGCCTCCAGTTCTCAAGTGAAAGTCACAACAAAGTGGGAACTCTGCTCTCAGGAGAGGGTGGCCTGGCATGAGGGTGGCCTGGCACGAGGGGGAGGTGGTGTAAGTGGGTTCCTGAACCTGCCTGACGGCTGCCGCTGGATGGAAACCTGAAACTGCCTGGTGGTTGACTTGCACGGTGTTCCTAAGTCACGCTGAGGGTTGGAGAGACGGGGGCCATGAGGAACCTGGGGGTGACGCGATGACATGCTAGACCTTCCCGTGTGTAGCCAGATCTTATTCCCAGGGTGACCCCAGCTGCCCCGGAATGTCGAATGAGATTAGTCCTCATGGACTCCGAAAGCACAACACCAGTGTGATCTCTCACCCACCTCTGCTTCTAGGCCTTTTTCTCTAAGTTAAAGGAGCAGGAGGCAAAACCCACCATGTGCCCAGCATGGCTGAGGCCAGTGCAGACCTCTGCCTGAGCTGGCGATGGGCCTCCTGGCCATGGTCAGCACCTTCCTGCAGCCAGGGGTCAAGGGGTCCCTCCAGGCCCTCAGAGCAGCACAGAGCCAGCCACCCCTGAACTCCACCTCCGACCAGCACTCCCACCCAGCACGAGCCTAGGACGTGTCTCCAAGTACTGACAGGGAAACTCCTCGAGTCCTGCCCTCTCTAGCCTGGGGCCACCTGACAATCCACAGCAGGCCCACGTCAGAGGCTCAGCGGACAGGAGGCCAGGGTGCTGTTCCAGATGGTCATCACTGCTCTGCCAGGAGAGTGTCACTTCCAACCAGTGTGTTACCAGAGGCCCCTCTGTTCCACCTGGGCGTCTACCTTATTATTATTTCCCAGATTACTTGTATACACATGTACCTGTACTTTCCCTCCATAAATATGCTTGACAGATGATTACGTTCACTCTTGTTCAGTCGTAAATTTTAGAGCTGAAAGGGACATCCTTCACAAGACAACTCCACAGTGTGGGCTGGGTCCAGCCTGGGCCCGCACCTCCCTGTCCACCCCACTCTGCTTCCTGGCTGGGCGGAGCCCTGTCCCCACAGATGAATGAAATGAAAGCGTGTGACCACCTACCCACACACCTTGGCAGAGGTGCACTCCACACACGGCGGCCCCCACCCAGGCAGGCAAGCTTGGTGGCACCTTCTAAGCGGTATCCCGGGAAGCAGGAGAAGGTCAGCGAGTCCCCCACGCCAAAGTGGAACCCGATTCTGCGGCTGAAGGCAGGGACTCCAGGGTCGTCACACGGCTCCAGGTCATACTCTGAGACAGGAGGAGAGAGAGTGAGCATGTGGGGTTGGTCCATGCCACACGGGGACCTAACAACTCAGCAAGAATTGAAAGAGGTCTTGTTAAAAATATGAAAACAGGCAGCTGTTTCCAAGCTCCGCTGTGCTCCGGGGGGTTTCTGTCCCTTGCACTAGGAGCTCTCCTTTGACAAGTGGTGTGAATACTAATATTTTTAAAATTCAGACACGTAACACTGTAAAGTGAAATGACCCGCTTCGGAGGCGCCCCTTGGAGAGTGTGGGGCGATTTGACTGATACTTCTGCCGACATCAGTTTCTGCGCTGCTGTTAAAGGCGCTTTGCAACCAAGGAGACACAGAGCGCAAGAGAAAAGCCATGTGCAGCGTGGGTTGAGGAAAGCTCCCGTGGCCCATTTCACCTCTCAACCTGACCCAGGAATGTATAGAAAATATTCTATAAACTAGAAATTTCTATAAACCACCCAAGAAGAAAATGCTGACACAGTTTTCTAAAAGTCCTTATGCTGGCACGTTGCTGCGCCCTGAGGGGGAGTTTTCAAGATAGTGGTGTTGATAACAGCCCTTCCCGACCCCTCCAGACCTCGGTACATGGGCGAGGTGCTCTGGTTGATGCTGATCCCTGGGTCTGTTGTGAAGTCTGGGTTTTCACTAACTGTAAGTCAGACAGAGTATGGACAGGAGCCTGGATGGAGCTTCCTGCTGTGCCTCAGTATGAGACGCCGAGAGCAACCCTTCATCAGCGTTCTCCATATTTTCCAAATCTGAGTCTTTTTCACTTTTACCACTTGTCTGGTTGCTTGTTGGCATGTCATCGCTGGACTGATGCCACAACCCCATCCAGGGGCGTGGGGTGCTCTTCCCACGCTCCGTCTCCTCCTCCCTGAGCCTGCTGGTCTTCCGTGGGGCTGTCAGATAGTCTTTGTCCTGCTCTGCCTTTGGGTGAAAACCTCCCGTAATGCCTGTGTTCAGACTACTCTGGCCATTCTTAAAATGTAACTAATTTGACCTTATTTTAGTGCAACCCAGGAAGAAAGATATAAATGATATCCAGAAATTGCACTCAATAAATACCTATTGAAAAACTATCACGTACAAAACATAATGATCCACTAGGAAACACTAAGATGGTGCCGTCTGGGGAACTTCACCTCCCGTCTTGCTGAGGTCCTCCTTCTATGTGAGATGTACTACACCTTCTCCATTCAGATGGGACCTTTCACGCAGTTTCTTTCCAACCCACTGAAAAGTCTCCCGGAATGAGAGAGTGATTTGGTATTACTTTGCGATAGACTATTATATTATGCAAAGAAACATCGCTCTGCTGGCTCTGCTGGGGTTCTTGGCTTGTGTATGTTTAATTAGTGTAGATGATGGCCTTGGAGAGCCACCTGCCTGGAGAGAGAGCCTGGTGCGGAACCGTGAGATTAGATGGTGCCGGCTTTACACCCTGTTGGGTCATGGAAGGATGCTCCTGTCGATCACTAAGCAGTTTCATGATGTGCATTCGCACTGTTTTCATCCCTCATCTAGCACAAGGAAAACGCCTGGCCCTCAGGATTCCATCTTCCCTCCAACTGCGTTCGTCCTTTGTCTGTGGCCATGCTCTCGCTCACTCCCCGGGTTCAGAGGCGTGGGCTGCAGTGCCACCTCAGCAGGAGACATGCTACAAGCCAGCTCGTGACACGCCACCAGGCCAGCTCCTGGCTACTCTCAGCACTAGACCTTTGAAGGACTGAATGTTCCCTGTATCTCCATCATCTGTCCTGTGTCCCCTTTGCCATCTGTCACAGCTCCCACAACGTCACTGTGACCCACAGCTGCCCCACCCCAGCCCTCTGTACTCATCCTCTCAGTGGGTGTGGGAACCTCTGGGTGATCTCTGCTTCCCTAAAAGATCTCCTTCCCCGAGTTTCCACAGTACCCATGGCCCTCCTGACCCATGGCCCCATCTTCCATAGGAGACTTGGATCCTCACCTCCAACAGCAGAGAGCTGAGCCCAGCTGTGACCCGGGGCCTGTCTCTTTGCACCTTATACCTGCCCAGCATCCTGGTCCTGTGGCTTCAAACCAGCCGACACTGCTGACTTTCAGGCACGTTTCCTAATTTGAGCCTATCTTATCAACTCAAGACTCTCCACGATCTCCTTTGGGAGTATACCTTAATTTTTCCAAAATAAAATTACGTATTTCCTCCAAACCTGCTTCCCTTCTGTGGTTTCCTTGTAACACTGCATGTCACTTACCCAGCCTCTTCTCTCCAGCCTCCCTGCAGTTCACACACACAGTCTGACCAGTTCTTCTCCAGCATCACCACCGGTCTGAGCCTTGCATCTGGCCTGACAGATGCTACTGAGGCCTGCGCTCCTTAGGAGGCTCCATAGAGGGCCCACCTGTCAGTCTCTGCTCTCACCCTTGTGAAGCCTTCAGGGCACATTCAGAATCAATGCGCAGTGGCTTCTGAGTCCTGCAGGCCAACCTGGCTCCTGGCCCCACCCTTCCCTCTCAGTTCACGGCTGTAGGGGCCTTCTTGTGCCCTTGTGGCCCCTCCCAACACTGCAGCCCCCCAGGAAGCCCACCCCACGTTGTCCCTTCTCACACACATGTCCTGGCTGTCCAGTCCCAGTGAATCAGAGCCCCTCCCTGGAATCTCTTCAGGACAGTGTCTTTTCTCCTGTCCCCGTGGACCTGCTTATTGCTCTCTGTGCCCCTGGAGGCTCTGCACTGTGCCTTGGTCCCCAGTGAATCCAGGCTTCTCATCTCCAGCCCTGGACTCCCGCCAGGCTTCATCCAGCGGCTCAGCCGCACTTGACAAGTGGAGAAACACATCCCAAGAGCAGTGAGCTCTGCTCTGTGGGGCACTGATGGTTCAGCAGTGGGAGCAGCACCCCTCTGAAATCTCACGGGAGAGGGAGACAGCCACGTAGAAAGATGAGGTTAGGAATACACAAGTTGTGCTTAATGATGTGATGTGTTCTCATGTTGAAATCTGTGCTCCATTCTCACAGTGGTAAGGAGAAGGCACTTGAGAGGAGGCCGTGGGGGCTCTGCCTTCACGGATGGAGAAGGGTCCTTGTCATAGGTGCCGGTCCTTGGTGAGGAGGGTCCTCTGGCCCGACCTCCTCCCTGGCTGGCCCTGCTGCTGCCCTCCACCTGGGCTATGGTGAAGGAGCAAGGGGCTCTTGCCCGAGGCTGAGGACCATTATGTGAACTTGCCCCCACCACACCTACCCAGGCTTATCTTCATGACTGTGGCCTCAGATGTCCCCTGCACAGCAGGAACTGGACTGGGACGACATGGGGGAAGGAGCTGTGCCGCTGGGAGACGGGAGCAGGCCCTGTGCAACCGGGACCACAACGGGCTCTGGGGCCTGCAGAGGTCTGAAGGAGACACATGAAGAGAGAACCTGCACGCAGCGTTGGGAAGTGGCCACGCTCTCATGGTTTGAGGAGAATGACCGTGAGCTGTGTGAATTAACTGAGAGTTGGCATTCTAGAAGCAGAACATGCGGGAGCCGGGTCGGGCACCAGTGTGCACAGACAGGGGCCTGACCCTGAGTGCCAGGGGCACCCAGCTTGGCATGGGCATCTCCGGAGGCACCTCACTCCCCAGTGTTGCCATCAGCCTCTGCAGGAGCAGCCAGGACACTCCACAGGGAACTGCTGTGTGAACGCAGCTTCTAGAAAGAAAAGCGACTGCACTGAGAGGAAGCGTCACAGCAGAAGAGCCCAGGGAGCCATTTCCCACACACACCAGGGAAGTCCCCCGAGGGGCCAGCCCTTCCTCTGTGTAATGAAACTGCTACCTATGTGGTCACTTGAAAAACAGACACCATGATATCAGCATCACCTGTGAGCGATTACCACCCCATTTCCAGGCAAAATCTTTCCAGATGAAATTGCGTCTTTAGCAACGCTCAGGAACTTATTTCCCATGAAATGGGATTTGCTCTAAAACCATGCCGTGTGGCTGTCCTGGTGGGGTGGCCACTTCTGTAAGTTTCCTGTCATTTTCCCTCCGTGGCATATAAATGAACCGCAGGTGTCCAGACTGAGGCTTTGGCTTCCGCAGCCAGGCGTATCCTGAACTCCCCTGCAGAGCTCCGTAGACCTAGCAGAGATCGCTGGCCCGCAGGTGCTGCTTCCTTGATTCTTGCTTAGAGTCATGGGAGAGGCCGTTCCCACTGACACCCTGAATCTCGCTAACTTCTATGATTGGAATGCATCCCCCCACTTTCGCGTCCTGGAAACCTGACCCTGGCATGGGGCACCGGGTCTTGGGTCCTTGTGGAGGGGATTAGGTCATGGGCTGCCCAAGTGGATGGACTCAGCCACTGTGGCAGGCTGGTGGGGCAGGCGTGCTCTCCACGGTCGGCCATATGAGGACAGGCTTTGTCCCTGCTGCCTTCCTCCACGCAGTGATGCAGCACCTGGATCTGGAACCCCAGGCTCCACCACGGTGAGGACGGAATTCTGTTCTCCATCCATTTCCCGTCTCAGGTCTTCACTGCAGCACAGAGAGACGGGGGGGCACTAATCGCAAGGCGCTCATGCCTGCCACATGCTGAAGGCAAAAGACTAAGAAATGGATGGGGTGAAACTGAGAAAACCCCGTGGACCCGAGAGAGGCCCCAGGGCCGGGGCACAGCCTGGTCCCACCTCCTGCTCCCTCCAGGGGGAAGTCCACACAGCTCAGGTTGGCTCAAGGTGCGAGGACGGGAGGAAAGGAGTGGTGTTCTCATGGGGTACTGATCGAGTCCCACGCGGGGGAAAGATACGGAGAGGGGGATTTAGGTGTTAGCATTAAGAAGATTTAAGGCTTTGATCTACAGAGGAGCCAGTCTCATGATCACTGCTGATTATAGTGAATTTCCAAACCAAGTTTTGGAGCCAGTTCTGGAAACTCCACCGAGGCAGGGAAATGGTAGGGACAGACGAAGACAGGAGACAATGGTCCAGGTTGGAGGAAGGCCTGGGGCAGCTGTTGAAGACGGCACTGCACTCCATGGAGCATGACCGCCCCGCAGCGTTTGGCAGGTGGCGGCCAAGTTCTCAATACAGGTAGGACGTGGTCAGCCCTGCAGGGCAGAACTGGGAGCAAGCAGAGGCCTTCCGTCAAGAGGCCTGTGGAGTACGGGGACAAGCGGATACCCAATACCGCAGCAACCAACTCACAAGTGCCACTGAAACTTACTAAGGGATTTTTGGGACCTTAAGAGTAAAGGAAATCACATGTGATTTGGGGGGATCGGGGACCATCTTATAAAAGTCACGTTCCATTTAACTGGGAAGAACGACGTGGACACAGGATTTTCAGGCATCCGTAAGCACAGATCAATACGACAGCTTGCACCCACGGGTGACTGTACCAGCGTTCCCTCTCTGTCAGGGACTGTGGGCTGGACCTGAGAGGCCACTGCACTGACCTTGATGAGCACATGCTCAAGGAGCACTGTTCTCGTGGCCAAGTGTACCTTGCCCACTTTGATCAGTGTTTGCACATGCTTGGTGAGTGTTTTATCTGATCTGTAAAAAAATCTCTGTCATAAAAGTTACACAAATTAAACGCTCTCACCCATACATACAAATAATGTCTGACACAACCCAAATCCCACCCAAATATTTTCTATACATTGTGATTAAAAAGGAAACTGCTACTGAACTTTGGAAACATTGTCACTGTGAATGATTGTGCTGGGACAACCTGAAGCCATGCAGCCTGTGTGTCTGTGTGGGGTGTCCGTCAGGGGCAGGGCTCCAGGCAGCACTGCATCTGCTGAGACAGCAGCTACGGGACCAGGGGACAACTGGTCCTGAGCCTGCCTCCCACCTCAGAGCCTTCTCCAAGGCTGACAGAGTGGGCCGTGAGCAATGAGCAGGAAGTGCTTTGCAGGAGAGTTTTATTTGTAGTTGTTAAGGATAAACATTCAGATAATGAAGACAAAAAGTGACATTCTGGTGCCGGCCGTGTGCCCTGGCACCTTGCCCCCTGGAGGCCCAGCCTCCCATACCCCACTGAGGGCCATGTGCTGTAGTTGGACACCCATGTGCACACTCCACAGGGCACAATTATTGCCAGGAGAGAGAAACAGGTAGAAAGGACCATGATACCTGAAAATGTGATGTTGAAGCCCTCGTAGGAAATAGAGAAGTCGGATATGAAGCGAAGCTCGGCCGTGAAGTTCCCAAACAGGCCGGCCTTGATGGTGTGGGGCAGCACCGACCCCGTGAGCCGGGCCACTGGCTCCAAGAAACTCCCGTCCTCTGTGATGAGCAAGTAGTCGTGGGAACTCTCCAGGTGGAAGGTGTGAAAGGTCAACTGGACCCCTGGGGGGAGGACAGGGGAGAGGCAGAGCCCAGACAGGACAGAGAGACAGGCGGCAGAGTTAACTGTGGCTGAAAACCATTTAAGGATAGGACATCAAGTCAAAATATTGAAATATCTTAACATGAAAATCTAGCTTTGAAATTTGAGATAACATGGATCAAATCAGGTAGTTTAGAAATGAAAGAAAGGACAGGGAGACCCCAAGCAAATGTTCAAATATGTAAGCGCAGCCAGAGACCAATGTAGGTATAGATATAGATGTGGATGAATAGATGTACAGAGAGATGTGGGTGGAGACCTGGATGTAGGTCTTCATAATGTCAAAGTGGCTGAAATTCTAAACAACTTTTTTAAAAATGGCAAACTTATGCAAAAAAGAAAGATTCATAGTACATTCCTACCATGAACCCAATGTTGTTAACCTACATTTTTTCTGCACAAAATGCCCTTTTCCTAGTCTGTACCATACTGACCTTCAGTATGAAAGTAAGGGTGTCTATTTGGCAAGGTGTCTTTGGATTTTATGAGGATTAATGTTTTGTATGGGATGGGATAATTCTAGATAGACTTAAAACACAAGCCAGGTACAAAAATTTCCCTAGGTTAATAATATAAATTAGAACTTAGATAATTGCCTATTTTCTTTTATTTAATCAAATTTATATTCTATTGAATCAGTGCCTCTATTCCTGATGATTATGCCTGATTTCCACTTTATCTTCACCTGCATCTACCAGTTTATCTGATAAAAGGCAAAACAAGGAATTAAGTTTGCTTGTAGCTTCAATAATTAAAGGCCATTTTTCTTCCAAAGTCTTATTAAAAGAAGGAAATGGGAGCCTTCAATATGCATGAGGATGCTGCCTATCTTTCTGTGCACACAGCAGCGCCTCTCTGACCCAGGCTCCTGCCCTGCTGCTTGTCTTGTGGGTCTGAAAACCGTGACAGGCATACCCTTGCCGTGAGAGACTTCGATGGTCCACGTGCAGTTCAAGGAGTTAGGATAAAAATCTGGAAACCCCGGAGAGAGGACCGTCCCACTCTTCCCGTGGATGTAGCCTCCACACAGTGCTGGAAATGGAGACAGGATTGGAGTATCAGTGGTTCACAGCGACTGCTGGATGTTCTAAATGACATTGAATTTACATGAGGCGTGGAACAGGATTTATTGTCATATTCATGAAAAACATACAAAGCCTGAACTTCATTTTCATGGAAATCCCCCCACCCCCGCCCACCGCCCAGTTCCCGGGAAGGTGTCCCAGCAGCTCAGCAAACAGCCTGGACAATGGTGCAGGACAAAGAGACTCTGCCATCAATAGCCAATGGGAAAGCACAGGCCAGGGCCCTGGGGCCGCTGAGTTCTCAGCAGCCCTTCCCTGAGCTGTGTCCTTGCAGAGACATGCCAGATCCAAGGCTACGCCAGGCAGCCATTTTTGAGGGAAGAAAAAGGAAATTAGGCAGAATGATTTCAGCAGAGAAGTAGTAATGGGGTCAGTAGGACATGGAGGTGGGCTTTTTAAAAAGACATTTTACTGTCTATATTTATCCTCACATAGCACAGAGTAGGGTCCACACGCATGGGGTGGAACATGGTAATTCAGCTCTCGTTCCCAGCGTGTGTCAGTCAGATCAGAGTGATCAGCACGGCCGCCATCTCCTCCCACATTAGAATTGCCTTGTGCTGGGAACATTCAGAACTTTCCATCAGCTCATTGAAATATCTAACTGATCACTGACAGCCGAGTTGGGAGACGGTGCCAGGGAACACTGGAAGCTCGTCCTCCGTCCAGCCGCGCCCTGAGTGGCCTCCAGTACCCACGGCCCTACTCCTAACCGCTGTGCAGAGCAGCGTGGGGATTCCTGGGAACACAGAAACACAGATGTCCAGCTGCCATCTGACCCTGCCATCCCAGCACCAGGTGTGCACCCAGAGGAACCAAGTCAGGATGTCACAGAGACACCTGCCCTTCCAGGCCCACAGCAGCTCAATTCACAAGGACCGAGAAAGGGAAAGGACCCAGGTGCTCGGCAGCAGGTGAGTGGATAAAGATGTCCACACACAATGCAGTGTCCACACAAGGTGATGCAATTCACCTACAGGAAAGACGAGTCCTGCCATTCGTGACAGCACAGATGGGCCTGGGGGAACTCCAGGTAAGGGGAAGAAACTGGGCGTGGAAGGACAATTCCTGCATGTCCTCACAAAGTGGGCATGTGAGTGCCAGGCCTGAAGCCCAGATGTGGGAGTCTAAACTCTTGGCCCTGCTGCCCGCCACATCGGTGACCCTTGGCGAGTCATTTGCCCTCAGTGATTTCCATGTCTCAGCCTGAAAATGGAAACAGTGACAGGGCTCATCTCACAGCAGGTGTCTGCAGTTACTGCCGCATGTGAATCAATCCTTGGTGTTTAGTAGACACTAAACGCTCGCGGCACCAGCCTCGACAGTTCCAGGAGTTTGAACTTTGGATCACAACAATCCCACACCTGGACTCAGCCACATGTGCCCTGGGTGTGCACCTTCAAGGGGGAGTGTTTCAGCTTCCCTGAGGCTTTTCTTCTTTCCTGTGGTGTCCCTCGAATCTCAAGACCTGGTGCGCTTTCCCATGATGGAGGCCCCGTGTGGCGTGCACAGGCGGCAAGCGGCAGCCATGGAGAGAGACTCCTGGCAGTGCCCTGCTCTGGCCTCATGCTTCAGCTCAGAGTCTCCTCGTCAAGGCCTCGTGTGTAGCACACAGAGCACAGCCAGGCTGTCCTCTCCCTGCAGCTCCTGCTCTGTGTCCTCGAGTCCCCCTGACAGACACGTGACTGGGCCCCAGTACGCCCAGGGAGCTGGTAAACCCGACTGCTGGGTGAGTCTGTGAGGGAGCCTGTGGACAAGATGACAGACTGGATGGCGAGGAGATCCGCCATCCCCGGGTGGACGGGCATCCTGTCCCACAGAGGGTGATAGAAGGCAAAGGTGGACCAGGACAGCTCTCCTCCTAACTGGGAGACTCTTCTGACCACGGGCAGTGGCGCTCTTGGCTCCTGGGGCCTCAGACTCAGGCCTCAAGACACCCAGGGCTTGCTGATGGCAGGGCGTGGGGCTCCTCAGAGCCACAACTGTGTGAGCCAGGCTTTCAACTTCTGCTGTGTGTGTGTGTGTGTGTGTGTGTGTATGAGAGAGAGAGAGAGACAGACAGACAGACAGACAGACATCCTGGTGCTCTGCCTTCTGGGGAAGCCTGCCTCTTGCGTGTCACTGAGCCAGTCCCTCCACTTCCCTGCTCCCAGACCTTAGGTGTCAGATGGGGCAGTGTCCTGCTGACTCCTGGGTCCTGGGGTGATGCGACTTGGCCCATGGAAACAGCTCAGGCAGGGTCTTGCAGGTGGACACTCGCCCGGCAGCCTCATGCCCTGCAGCTCTGCAGACAAGAACCTCTTTCATCTCCCCTCTGTGGGGCTCTACTGCTGCCTGTGGATGGTTTGCTCTTCCCTCTAACCAGCTAACGTGAGTTATCATTAAATAAACTGATACCTGGGATGAATTTCATGTATTAATGAGTCTCCCAAGTTCTGCTTCATGAAAGCTGCTTCCACAAATGATGTTTCAAAAGGGTTAGGTAATTTGTGGGAGGCAGAGCTTGCCTTGCGATGCTCCCCAGCCTTTTACGGGAGCAGGTCGCCTCTTTCTGAGGGGAAACCAAAGGGGACAGCTACCTAACAATCGGCAGAATAGAAGCCTTACAGAATTAGCTCTGGAATACCTCAGCCATTTCTCAGAAGGATTTCACATCTTAAAATTGCATTGAGTCTATTTGTCACTGTGATGGGGTAGCATTGGATATAAATCTTGAAATTGATTCATCTAATTAGGAAGAAACTGCTGTTATTTGGGCCCTGTCCTCAGGCCCAGAGAATAACGAACAAAATAGACAAAAATAGTCCGTCCTCAGAGAGCACGTGCTCTACTAGGAAGAGAAAGGCTGAAACCCATGATGATATAATGTGTTGGTGCTGGACGATGGCAAACCCCTGTGAGAGAACCTAAGCAGGAGGACAGAGTCGAGGGTGTGAGACCTGGGGGGCTGGGTCATCAGCCTCAGGGGCCAGGGGTCTGCTCTAGGAAAGTGGTCTATGAAGAGGGACTTGAGAGAAGAGAGGGCATGTGGCACCTGAGCGTGAACTCAGGTCTGAACCTAGCAAGGACCGAGCCTCAACGCCACTGGACCCACACAGAAGGACTCCAGGTGACCAGGATGGTGAGGACAAAGGAGAGAGGGTCCTAGGCGGATTTCAGGATGCTGACAGAGGGCAGGCCCCATGATGGCCTTGCAGCTCTCATAACGCATTTGGTGCTACTGACCCAGGAGGCAGGGCCTCTGCAGGGCCGTGCTGGAAAGTTACATGGGCTACCTAGGGTTTAGCGTGATCATAAGGTTGCTGTATAAGAACACACAGGAACGAAGCATCGCACGGCAGGACATTGGAGGCAGCTGGTCAGACAAGGGCAGACCCTGGCTATGTGTTGAAGGTAGAGTCACAGAATTTTGTGTAAGTGACAGGTGGGCATCATGACAAAATAGGAGGACTAGAGGATGACAGTCATCAGCCCAAATGTGAAGTAGCTGACAGGTGAGGAGGGGCACAGGTGAAGAGGCAAGGCCAATACATAGGGGTTTTGGATACACAAACATCAAGGTCTGTTGGACACCATGTAGAAGGTTGACCCGAGATGGATCAACAGAGCTCGAGGCCTGCTAGACTCCATGTAGAAAGTTAAATGGATCCATGGAGATAGAGGCCTGCTAGACTCCATGTGGAAGGTGAGATGGACCCATGAAGATAAAGACCTGCTAGACTCCATGTGGAAGGTGAGATGGACCCATGGAGTTGAGGCCTCCTAGACTCCATGTGGAAGGTGAGGTGGATCCATGGAGTTGAGGCCTCCTAGACTCCATGTGGAAGGTGAGATGGACCCATGGAGATAGAGACCAGCTAGACTCCATGTGGAAGGTAAGATGGACCCATGGAGCTTGAGGCCTGCTAGACTCCATGTGGAAGGTGAGATGGTCCATGAAGATAGAGACCTGCTAGACTCCATGTGGAAGGTGAGATGGACCCATGGAGTTGAGGCCTCCTAGACTCCATGTGGAAGGCTGACCTGAGATGGCTGCAGGAAGCTGCACGCCTGACAGACACCATGTGGAAGGCTGATACTAAGAGGGCTTACCAAGGCACAGGAGGGACAGCAAGATTGCATGGGACCAACATGGTGAATGTGGACATATTCAGGAAGACTAAACCCAGTGTCAGCAGCTCAGTGAAACTGCCAGTGTCCACAGAGGACACTGGACATGTAGCTGGTGTGTCAGGAAGAAACCCAGAAGAGTGGAGCTGAAGCCACACATGGTAACTGTCACTGTCTGACTGGATGGGTATAAATGAGTACATTAGCTTTTCGTTTTTTATGAAGAATTTAAGCATAAAGAATTAAAAGCACTTTATATAAAATTGACAACATATATCAAATGTTGCTAGGAATCTGTACCTGAAAATCTGTATATGCTACATAAGCTGATAAATTAATTCATGCCAAGCTACATTTAAAAGTTATACAATCCATAAATCTTTATTTCACCCTGTGTCCTAATATCATTAAGGAAAATGGAGCATGTCCCGGGAAAGCCCGAGTGAGAACACTTCAGCTCAAGCTGATTCATCAACACAGACAGAACCCAGACGTCACAGCCCCCAAGACAGACCACAGACAGAGCGGCAGGCAAGGCAGCCGCGATGCTTATCTTGACTCACACAGGTGAAGCTACAACACAGTCCAAGTCACACATTACGAAGATCTGAGTAAAAATAGCTCCGTGTATAGTCTTCGATTTTTTTCAAGGAAAGGAAATTTGATGTGTAGAGAATAAATTGATATTCTCATCTAAAATCAAAGAGAGGAGAAGAGGGAATAAAATGAGCTTCTTGGCTTACATTTTAATGCCCAGATGGGTCTGGGTGGTAGGCATGGAAAGACATGCAAGGTCCCCCAGTGGAGCCACCAGTTTAGCCACACACGACTTGAATTCCACAAATCGCCCTTCACTCACTGCAGAGTCTTCTCTGAGTAGTTATGAAAGACAGTGACACTTTACTTCTGCTTTCCTATGGCTGTGATCTCTTGAGTTGTAACCCTCTGTTTGTATTACGACCCACTAAGGCCCCAGATCCAGCCTCTCAGGAATCCTTTGGATATAAGACTAACATTCGCAAAAGTGAGGACAGGAGAAGAGGTGATGGGAAGAGCTGAAGTAATCTTCCTTCCACGTTCAAGTTCAGCTTTGGCCTCTGCTTGAACCTGGGCCTCCACCTGGTCCCCCATTCAAAACCATTTACTGAGGAACGTACAACTCCTTTCCAAACACTCTTCTGTGCTCTTGGACACACGAAATGAGTAAGACAGAAAAGTTCTTATTATCCCAAAATTTATGTTCCAGTGGGGAAGGGAAAATGCACTTTAAAATAAACTAAGTAGACATGAATTATTCTAAGAATAAGAATATTAAGTTGCTTTCAAAACTCAAAGGAAGATGAGGTGGCCGGACTGGATGAATAGCAAAGAGACAGTAGAGGGTGGGCAGCTTCATGTCCATGCTGATGTCCACTCAGGAATGGTGAGTTGAGCAAGTGCTAGAATGTTGGTGGGAAGGTGGAAGGTCATGGGAGTGCAGGTCCATTCAGTGACCTCCCTGTGGTTCAGTCTGCTGTGGTTTCTGTTGCTGCTCATTCCAGGGGCTTGGGTTCCTGATGATCCTCCATGTCAGGCCCACAGAGCTCCCACAGATGCTGCAGTTACTGTCATCCATCATTATTGGCCCCTCCCTCCATCCTGTCACCTCCCAAGGCACTGGCCAAAGTCTTCGATAGATGGAAGTGTGCCTCTTTGCACTGTAGCCACTTTGGGAAAATCCACTCCTTGCTGGAACATCAGCTCCAGTTGGATTTTCCATGAATTATTCCGCCTCAATTCTTATGTGTAAAGCATAAACCAAACTGTAAAGAGCATACTGGGTGTCTGATGGAGAACAGGCATGCAGGCAGGTGAGCTGTAAACACATAGGAGAGTGTGTGCAACAGTACTAGAGTTTTGGAAACCTGCATACAGAAGACCTGGGCGTCAGGATCGCCCATTAGGCTGAAAGGCTGACACAGCATTAGCAGCAGCTGGTGAAGGCTGAGTGCATCCTTGCACAGAGCATGGCAAAGAGTGGCTCAGGTGAGGAAGCATCTCACTACGCCATTTTGCTGGGGCAACTGGAGGGTGAGACCAGGAATAAGTAACTTCTGTGTTCTAGGCTGCCTATGGGGCAGAAGCAGATAATACTCCTGATCCAATGCTGAAATGTTTAAAAAAAAAATCATTGTTTCCAACATTGAATCAAGAATTCATGGGGCTTTTTGTATTTTAATGCAAAGGAATGTGCAACACCGATGCCTGTTGAGAAAAATCCATTTCAAAATTGAAATTACTGATCCCGAAAGGGTCAGACAAAGCCTCTCATGCGTCTACATGAGCTTTAATTTCAATTCATGAACCTAGACAATATTTTTCCTGTTCGGGGGTTTGATCCTGGGATCTTGTCCTTGCCTAGCTAGGCAGCACTCCACCACTGAGCCCTGTCGCAGCCCGAGCCTAGACAATCTGCCAGCAGTCCTAGGTTTAAAGACGGCCTCGTTCATCACCATAGAAGCAGAAGTCTTCGACTTTCCAATCTCGTCAGGTATGACTGAAGGTTCTTCAGTTCCAACAGCTAGGAAGCCCTGTGTTACCACTTGCTCAACTGAACCGTACAAAAGAAAATGTAAGGAAAGGCAGCAGCTCTGGGTGTGCATTTCCAAATTCCATTTTCATCTGTAGTGCAAAATGAGAGAAAGAAAGAGCTACAGCAACTGCACAGTAGCACTCAACAAGCCGCGTGTGCCTGCACTCACTGTGAACATAAACTGCTCACAGGATTGACTGACTTACAGCAAACTTTAGATAAGCAGCTTGATAAACCATCTCAATTCAAATTCAGTTTCACAAGAAAAACAAGGGTTGAGGGTTTGGGTTCTAATTATTTTTAATCTAGAACCATAAAATATGACAAATATTTTGTATACTCTATATGACAAACTCAGAGTTTACAAAATTTAACTATTTTTGTTTTTCATTAAGGCACATATTTATGGAGCACATTGTGATGTTCTGACACATGCACACATTGTGTAATGATCCAATCAAGTTATTTAGTATATCCACCACCTCAAACATTTATCATTTCCCTGGGATAGGAACAGTCTAAATCCACCTGGTGGTTACTTGAAACATGTAATGTAGCACTCCGGCCATCCTCTGGGCTTCAGAACCTGAACTATTCCTGCTGTTCACTTGCAACTTGCGCCCCCTGACCAGGGTTGTCCACCTGCTCTCCACTCCCCAGCCCCCAGTCCACACTCTTCTGCTCAGTACTTCTGGGAGACCCACGTGTCCAGCCTGCACATAAGTGATATGCTGGGGCACTCGTCTTTCTGCTCCTGGCTCACTTCCTCCAGAGGAAGGAACGTCCTCCAGTCATGTTACTACGGCAAATGACAGGTTTTCACTCTTAGGGTTGAGTGGCATTCTGTGGAGTGCCTGTGCCACTCATCTGCTGGTGGACACTCCGTGTGACTCCACACCTGCTGCTGAGGACGTGCAGCAGTAGGAGTGCAGGGGTCTCTTCTGTGCACCGACTTCCTTCCTTTGGCTGTGGGTGCAGGTGGGCTTGCTGGATGCTACGCAGCTCCATCTTTAATCTGTGAGGCACCTGCCTGCTCCTTGCACAGGGCTGTGCTGGCTCACCTGCTCCCCGAGCTCCCCTTGTCCTCACCAGCACTTGCTATGCTGGTCTCTTTGACAACAGATATTCTAGCAGGTCTGAAATGATCTCTCCTCTGGTTTCAATTTGCATCTTGGTTTATAACATTTGACTTCAACATCTTTCTGAGGCAAATGCAATTGATATTACAATTAGATGATAGTAGAATTATAACACAACAGGAAGAGAAAATGGTATCAGCTGTTTTCTCATTAAAATGTCCTTCCAGGTCATGAAGAGCAGAAGTGGTATGTGCACATCATGGTCTCTCCCGTGACTTCTCATTCCCTCTCTACTGGCTTCATGTGCTTTACTTCCAGAGACAGCCTTAGGCCACTCACAGTGTCCACCTGCACTTTGCAGGTGCCAATTATTGTGTTAGTACTTTGGTAAAAGGTCAAGAATTTTAAATGTTCTGCAGTTACACACTCTTCTTCCCTAAACCCTGTTATTTGCAAGCATTATCTCTAAGAAGTTAAGGTGTTTAATGAATGCATATCTTCTTTAGTGTTTGAAAAGAAGACCCTTCAGTCTATAAAATACGGAAAATGGAAATATATGTCTATGGCATGTACATAGAATTCCAATCTATATATCTCATTTTCACACACACATTAATCTTTATAAACAACACTATAATAGGGGTATATTCATGACTAAAGGTAAAATGCCCAAAGCATATTTGCAAATGATCACAAGTAATATATTTTTGGTATGAGGTTGAACCCTGTAGTGACCTGATAATCAAGATTGCTATTTGTTCTTAAGATTTTGAGGAGTAGATCTGTGTAGAGAAAGGGGTAGTCAATAGCACAGCAGCCTGAGGGTCTCCCAAGGGCTGGGGTCCCAGTGCCCCTGCTGGGCAGAGGCTGAGGGTCAGTGGGAGCCAGAACAATCTATGTGGATGTGGATAAGCACCTTGCCTGGACCCGAGTCAGAGAAAAATCATGTGTGACTGTCTGGGATGCGTCAACTGTCTGTAGTGCTCCTGCTGCCACTCAGAATAGGTGCTTTCTAACAGACTGTGGATCAGAACCCTTCCTACGTTAAATGCTCGGAGCCACTGCTGAAGGACAGCTGTCATTCTCCAGTCTTCATTTCTAACCAGCTGTTCTACCTCCAACAGAAAACGTGGTGGGCAAGCAGGTGTGTGTCACATTAAGGCACCCCTCAGCCAGCTGGCTGTGACTCCCCACGGAATGCACACCCACAGAGCACCTAGACAGCCACTGGCTCCCGCTGCCGCCCAGCCCCTGGCCAGCGCAGGCCACCTACCATCGCAGCTGGGCAAGGCATGGTTCCACTGATGGTTCTGCTCACAGACCAGGGGCTCCTCGTCGCTCAGGGTGTACCCTGGGTCACAGCTGAAGGTCACAGTGGACCGGATGCCAAAGTCCCTGCCATGCCGTCGGCCATTCACAGGGATGCCTGGGTCCAGGCAGGAGTCCGTCTCGAGGGTCACACCTGGAGGCACAGAGACACATCACCACGGGAGGTTAGCTGAGAAGGTGTGCGACCTATGGAAACACAGCATGCTCTCAGACACAGTCAGCAGGAGAAAGCGTGCAGCTAAGTGACCCATTACCAAGCTGATTATCAAGAATCCAACAATCCATTAATGTAAAAACAAGGTTTCTCAAATATGTGACTCTGTTTTTCAAATTAGAGAGATTCATATCGGTATGCTATTTACCAGAAGATATCTAAATAGTACAACCTTGAATAATTCATTAACCTCTGAATTTTACTTTTCTTCACTGGAAAATCAATGAACTGCTAAATGAAGGCCAGTTTTCTCCCTCCACCCTTCGCCTTTACTTTCATGATCTATGTCATGAAGTCTTGGCAGTCATACTGTAACTTTCCTATCTGTGCACACACACAGGGGTGGATACTTAGGATGCATCTAAAACTACACTGGAGTTGATTTTCCAAAAATGCATTCCACAAGTCACACAATTTCAAAATCTGCACTGAAGTCAGCCACTTTTGAGATGGCTCCGATTAGCCCATACTAAAATATGTGCAAAGATGAGAGCTTCACCAGGTAAAGTAAGTAGATCCAGTCTCCAAAGAGTGTCTTTATTCCATTTCACATTTCTTGCCTTCTAGAATAGTACATATTTTAAATCATGATGAAAGTTAGGGGGAAAAAAAAAAGAATAGCATTACTATGTTCCCAAATGCCAAAAATAGACTTGCTGCTGCTATATATCACCCTTGGTAATGTTTGGAACACAAACCATGATCTGAAATATTAGTAAAAAAAATATTAAAATAGTTCCAATGTTCAGATGGTTAAGTTCCCCATGGTCTCTGGGACACTATATTTTACACCTACATTTTAACAGAGTTTGAGGGGTGTGGCTTATGAACAGCCTTCCCTCCTAAGCCTAGTACCTGAATGCTAATTCTGGGTGATTGTTTAAGTAATAAGTGATGAGGGTGATAACTCCTGTTGGTATAGTGAACTGTGGCCCAGGGGGCAGTGGGACTCGCAGGAGCTCAGTGCTACTCAGCTGTGGGGAGGAATCCGCCAGCAGGGAGGCCCAGTCGCTGCTGCTGCTCCCAGGCCACGGGGTGTGCAGGGGGCAGTGTGCTGGTCTTGCTAGGTGGGCTCTGAGCACAGCGTGATTTCCAGGGAGGAGCCACTGGAGACTAAGTCCACCCACAGGGCAGTGACATCAACCACACCATGACACAGGGCCCGGTAAGAGCTCTGGACCCAGAGCTTGGGAATCCCAGGCGGGCAGCAGGCTGTGCTCCATCCTGCTCTGGGTTTGGACCCCCAAGTTTTACCCTGGGTCCTTCCTACTGGCTCCTTCTGCTTTATCTCCTTTTCCTGTCATAAACATGATGATGAGTCTCCTAGACTCGGCGTTCTTTGAGTCCTTTTAGCGAGTGATCAAACCCTAGGGTGGTCAGGACACCTCGGACGGGGGATCGTATCTGGACTGACCGAGTGCAGACCTGGCCCTCTGCCGGCTTTGTGCCTGACCCCCGTGGCCAGCACTGCGGTCAGTGCTCTCGTGGTTGAGTTTTCTCCAGGGGTGGATGCGGTGGTGGGTGGAGTGATGAAGGGGAAAAGAAGTAGATTTAAAAAAGAAGAGCAGACGCCAAGACGGTGGAGTAGAGAGCCCTCTCTGGCGTGTCTCTGAGTGAGTGTCGGACGCTCTCCCGCACAAGGGCCCTCCCTGAGGAATCCAAGCTTCATGGGGCCTGGGACAGGATTTTAAACAGCGGTCTGCCGCAAGTCCAGCCCAGGACGACGGGAAACTGGAGTCGCACTTTGCGAGGAAGCCGGCCGACAGCCTGGAGCTGGGCCCCGCGGAGGAGAGGCAGGGTCCCTGGTCCTTCAGGGCTGGAGCGGGTCAGACTGCGACCGCGTCACCCCAGGGCGCGGGACCGCGGACCGAATTCTGGACATGGCGTGGGAACAGAAGAGCTCAGCTCCCTCCACCTCGCTGGTCGGTGGCCATCGTGGAAAGCCGGCCTCATCAGCTTGCGGCGGGTGTGGCAGACAGCGCCCTGTGCATCTGCGCAGGTGTGAGCAGCCCCGCTCCCCCACCCCCAGCTCTGATGACCGCAGACCTTCCTCACCAGCTCCCGGTGGGCGAGGCTAGCAGAGGGAACACCGCAGAACACCCCCCCCCCCACCCACAGCTGTGACGACGGGTGACCACCCAACACAGACATGGCACTCAGTTGGTCAGGAGCCCGCGGCCAGGGCGCCACCTGCCCAGAGTGAACCCAGGGCTGCACACAAGAGAAACGTCAACTGGGGCCTGGTGGCCAGGAGCGGGGTGGGGGATGGAGACCCGGAGCAACCCAAAGAGACGGGATTGGAGAGGCAGCCGCCAGGGGAGGGAGAGCCGCCTCACCCGGATGGGCCGACCCAGCCTGGAATGCACAGCGCCCCCTACTGGAGGAGAAGAAAACAGAATTCCAGGAGGGCGTGTTTTATTTTTCTTTTTCCTTCTTTCCTTTTTCCTTTTTATCTTTTTCTTCTCTGTTTTCCTCTCTCTTTTTTTCATTCCTTTCTCTCTCTTTCCTCCCTTTTTTATCTTCTGCTTTTTTTTTTACTTTTCTTCCTCCTTCTCTTCCTCTCTCAACCTTCCAAGTGTTACTCTTTCTACTTCGTGTAATTTAGTAAATGCAAATAGGTGTTTGCTTCTTATTGTCCTCCCATGTACTGAACTACCCTAAAATACCTCCTGTCTATTCTCCTGCTAATAACCCCCTTCATGAGAGTTCTCCTCCAAGGTAGCTAAGATATATTAACCCCATATCCTCACAGCAGCATAACGTCCTACACCTGACCCTCAGTCCTGTATATGCCACAGAAACTGTATGCCTTTTATGAAGCTAATGAATATATTTTAAATTATAATTGACTCCAACATCTCTAGACATTGAGACTAACTATAAATATATTAATAACAAGAACTAGCTCATAGATGATGTATAGTTGATATTGGGAACCGTTTACATTGCCTCCCATCACAAAGGAGAGATCTCAGAACTCTACAAGAGCAATACAGATCTATAGGGGAAAAACAACAACACAACAGTCACACAATGCTGGAAAGAAACGTGAGCAACCTGAAAAGACAAGGAAAGAAAGGACCACAAACAACGCAGGTCAATTCAACATTAGAGGAGGTAACATCTACAGCAGAAAGAATGTCAGATAAAGATTTCAGGATATACATGGTTCAGAGGATCTGGAGATTCCAGGAAGACATTAGACAGCAAATGCAGACAATGAAAGATCACTTTGACAAGGAATTACATAAAAAAAAAATCCAAGAAACAAAACATCAACTCTACAGGGACATAGAGATTATACCAAAAAAAAAAAAACACACACACACAAAAAAAACATAAATCCTGGAAATGATGGAAATAACAAACCAAATTAAATACTCAAATGAGAGTATCACCAGCAGAGTAGAACACTTAGAGGATAGAACATCAGACAACGAAGACAAAGATATCATCTCAAAAAGAAAACAGCGAGACTGATAAGAAACCATGAGCAGAACATCCAAGAAATATGGGATAGCATAAAGAGACCAAATTTAAGAGTTATTGGGATACAGGAAGGTATAGAGGTCCAAACCAAAGAAATGAGCAATCTGTTCAATGAAATAATATTAGAAAAATTCCCAGACTTGAAGAATGAAACAGAAATCCAAATCCTAGAAGCCTATAGGATGCTGAATGTACAAAACACACAAGAGACCCACACCAAAACACACTATAATGAAGATGCCCAACATAGAAAACAAGGAGAGAATTTTAAAAGCCACAAGAGAAAGGAAGTAGATTACATTTAGGGGTAAACCAATGAGGTTAATGGCTGTTCTTTCTATACAGACTCTGAAAGCTAGAAGATCCTGGAACAACATATTTCAAATGCTGAAAGATAATGTCTTCCAACCAAGAATCTTGTATCCAGCAAAATTAAGCTTCAGGTTTAAAGATAAAATAAAAACCTCCACGATAAACAAAAGTTAATAGAATTTGCAGCTAGAAAACCAGCGCTTCAAAACATCCTTGGCCAAACATTTCATGAAGAGGAAATGAACAATAACAATGAAAACCAACAGTGGGAGGTAGTACAGTAAAGGAAAAACTAATCAAAAAGGAAAAACAAATCAAGTTTAATGACAAAAATAAACAAATATGGCTGGAAGAACAAACCATATCTCCATAGTAACCCTAACTGTTAATGACTTAAATTCACCAATCAAAAGACATAGGCTAATAGACTGGATTTAAAAAAAAAAAACCCTACAATATGCTGCCTATAGGAGACTCTTCTGATAGGAAAAGACATCACAGACTGAAGATGAAAGGTTGGGAAAAATCATACCACTCACATGGACTGTGGAAGCAACCAGGGGTGTCCATACTCATGTCAAATAAAATAGACTTCAAGCCAAAGTTAATCAAAAGGGATAAAGAAGGACACTACATACTGCTCAAGGGAACTATACACCAAAAATACATAACAATCATTAAAGTATATGCCCCAAACAATGGTGCAGCTATGTTCATCAAACAAACTCTTCTTAAGTTCAAGAGTCAAATAAACCACAACACAATAATCATGGGTGATTTAACATACTTCTCTCACCACTGGACAGATCTTCCAAACAAAAGTTGAATAAAGAAACTGTAGAGCTCAATAACACAATTAATAACTTAGACTTAACTGACATATACAGAATATCTCAACCAACATCAAGTGGATACGCTTTCTTCTCAGCAGCACATGGATCCTTCTCAAAAATAGACCATATACTATGCTTCAGGGCAACTCTTAGCAAATACAAAGGAGTAGAGATACTAGCATAGAGATCAGATATTTATCTGATCAAAATGGAATGAAATTGGAAATCAATGATAAAATAAGGAAGAAAAATTCCTACATCACATGGAGAATGAACAATATGCTA